GGTCTATATATTAAAATAATTTTATTTTTACTTTGAGACATAAACAATATATGTTTTAAACTTTAATTATGAGTTTATGTAAGAAGATTGTGAAAATCCCCCTTCCCCCATTTTTAAAAAAAAAAAAATTATTTAAAAAAAAAAAAAAAAAAAAAAAAAAAAAACCCAATAAAAAAAAAAAAAAAAAAAAAAAAAAAAAAAAAAAAAAAATAAAAAAAAAAATTAAAAAAAAAAAAAAAAAAACTCCTGCTAGGCAGACATCAAACTCCTGCTAGGCACACACCAGACTCCTCCTAGGCACACCCCAAACTCTTGCTAGGCACACACCAAACTCCTGCTAGGCACACACCAGACTCTTGCTAGGAACACACCAAACTCCTGCTAGGCACACACCAAACTCCTGCTAGGCACACCAAAATCTTCCTATGAAAAACACTAAACTCCTGCTAGGCACACACCAGACTCTTGCTATGCACACATCAAACTCCTGCTAGGCACACACTAAACGCATGCAAGGCACACATCAAACTCCTGCTAGGCACACACCAGACTCCTTCTAGGCAGACATCAAACTCCTGCTAAGCACACACCAGACTCCTGCTAGGCACACACCAAACTCCTGCTAGGCACACACCAAACGCTTGCTAGGCATAGATCAGACTCGTGATAGGCACACACCAGACTCCTGCTAGGCGCGCACACATGACTCCCTTAGGCACACACCAGACTCCTTTAGGCACTCACCATACGCCTGCTTGGCACGCACCAGACTCCAGCTAGACACACACCAGACTCCTGCCAGGCGCAAACCACTATCCTGCTAGGCATACACCAGACTCCCTTAGGCACACACCAGACTCCTTTAGGCACACACCAGACTCCTGCTTGGCACGTCCCAGACTCCAGCTAGGCACATACCAGACTCCTTCTAGGCACACAAATTTACTGGGTTTAAACAAGTCAATTTATTGTGAAGTTTTTTTCCTGGTTCCATGGGTTTAAAAAAACACATCATTCCGATCGATCTGTCTCTGCAAGGGCTGAATGATCGGTGATGTGTAAATAATATACATCCGAAATGACAGAACAATTTCTAAACGTCTAATTTACAACACGGAAAATTATACTAATTTACATTTTCCAGGAATCAATACTTGATAATTCAACGCTATTCACGAAGAATGCATACAACGATATTAGTTTCCACCAGGAGACATGTAGCATTACCACTATTGTAAATATCGCAGTGAACTAAAAAAAAAAGAAAAGAAAAGAAAAGATGTACTGTTACTCAGTACTCTCAGCCAATATTGAATTATTGGAATCGGTATAGTTAAAAGATGCAGAAATGTAACAATTCAGCTCAATGCAATAAATAGGCAGTTGACCCTTATTCCGATAATTGACGTCATTCGTGTTAAATGCGGATTTAAGTGAAAAACAAACTCCAGCTGCAGTTTAAAGACTTCATTTTTTACGACTTGGGGGTGGGGGGGGGGGTGGGGGGCACACATCTTGAGGATAGGCGGGTGGAGGGGGATAAAAGTGTATTTTGTGTATGTGGGGAAATCTAACCCAAAAGGGAATGTGTTTAATACGATAATCAACATGTGTCCC